TGCAGTAGTTTGAGCATTCTTTGGCATTGCCTTTCTTTGGGATTGGAATGAAAACTGACCTTTTCCAGTCCTGTGGCCACTGTTGAGTTTTCCAAATTTGCTGGCATATTGAGTGCAGCACTTTGACAGCATCATCTTTTAGGATTTGAAATAGCTCAACTGGAATCCCATCATCTCCACTACCTTTGTTCATAGTGATGCTTCCTAAGGCCCACTTGACTTTGCATTCCAGGATGTCGGCCTCTAGGTGAGTGATCACACTATTGTGATTATCTGGGTCATGAAAATCTTTTTTGTATAGTCTTCTGTGTATTCTTGCCACCTCTTCTTAATATCTTCTGCTTCTGTTAGGTTCATACCATATCTGTCCTTTATTGTGCCCATTTTGGCATGAAATATTCCATTGGTGTCTCTAATTTTCTTGAAGAGATCTCTAGTCTTTCCCATTCTATTGTTTTCCTCTATTTCTTTACACTGATGACTGAGGAAGGCTTTCTTATCTCTAGTTGATATTCTTTGGAACTCTGCATTCAAATGGGGATATCTTTCCTTTTCTTCTTTGCCTTTTGCTTCTCTTCTTTTCACAGCTATTTGTAAGGCCTCCCCAGACAGCCATTTTGTCTTCTTGCATCTCTTTTTCTTGGGGATGGTCTTGATCACTGTCTCCTGTACAGTGTCACAAACCTCCGTCCATAATTCTTCAGGCACTCTATCAGAGCCAATCCCTTGAATCTATTTCTCACTTTCACTGTATAATTGTAAGGGATTTGATTTAGGTCATACCTGAATGGCCTAGTGGTTTTCCCTACTTTCTTCAATTTAAGTCTGAATTTGGCAATAAGGTGTTCATGATCTGAGTCAAACTCAGCTCCCAGTTTTGTTTTTGCTGACTGTATAGAGTTTTTCCATCTTTGCCTGCAAAAAATATAATCAGTGTGATTTTGGTATTGACCATCTGGTCATTTCCACGTGTAGAGTCTTCCCTTGTGGTGTTGGAGAGGGTTTTGCTATGACCAGTGCGTTCTCTTGGCAAAACTCTATTAGCCTTTGCCCTGCTTCATTTTGTACTTCAAGGCCAAACTTGCCTGTTATTCCCTTGACTCCCTACTTTTGCATTCCAGTCCCTGATAATGCAAAGGACACCTTTTTGGGGATGTTAGTTCTTGAAGGTCTTGTAGGTCTTCATAGAACCATTCAGCTTCTTCAGCATTACTAGTCGGGGTACAGACTTGGATTCCTGTGATATTGAATGATTTGCCTTGGAAATGAACAGAGACCATCCTGTTGTTTTTGATATTGCATCCAAGTATTGCATTTTGGACTCTTTTGTTGACTATGATGGCTACTCCATTTCTTCTAAGGGATTCTTGCTCATAGTAGTAGATATAATGGTCATCTGAGTTAAATTCACCTGTTCCAGTCCATTTTAGTCTGCTGACTCCTAAAATGTCAATGTTCACTCTTGCCATCTCCTGTTTGACCACTTCCAATTTGCCTTGATTCATGGACCTAACATTCCAGGTTCCTATGCAATATTGCTCATAGGAACAATAGCATCGGACTTTACTTCCATCACCAGTCACATCCACAACTGGATGTTGTTTTTGCTCTGGCCCCATCTCTTCATTCTTTCTGGAGTTATTTCTCCACTGATCTCCAGTAGCGTATTGGGCACCTACTGACCTGGGGAGTTCATCTTTCAGTGTCGTATCTTTTTGCCTTTTCATACTGTTCTCAAGGCAAGAATACTAAAGTGGTTTGCCATTCCCTTCTCCAGTGGACCACGTTTTGTCAAGACTGTCCACCATGACCCGTCCATCTTGGGAGGCCCTACATGTCATGACTCATAGTTTCACTGAGTTAGACAAGGCTGTAGTCCATGTGATCAGATTGGTTAGTCTTCTATGATTGTAGCTTTCAGTCTGTCTGCCCTCTGATGTTTAAGGATAAGAGGCTTATGGAAGCTTCCTGATGGGAGATACTGAGGGGGAAACTGGGTCTCGTTCTGATGGGCGGGGCCATGCTCAGTTCAGTTCAGTTCAGTCGCTCAGTCATGTCCGACTATTTCCGACCCCATGAATCGCAGCATGCCAGGCCTCCCTGTCCATCACCAATTCCCGGAGTTTACTCAAACTCATATCCATGAGTGGGTGATGTCATCTAGCTATCTCATCCTCTAAACCTTTAATCCGATCTTCTGTTGATGGGCTGGGCTGTGTTCCCTTCCCTGTTATTTGGCCTGAGGCCAAACTGTGGTGGAGGTAATGAAGATGATACTTTGCCAACAAAGGTCCATCTAGTCAAGGCTATGGTTTTTCCAGTTGTCATGTATGGATGTGAGAGCTGCCCTGTGAAGAAAGCTGAGCGCTGAAAAATTGATGCTTTTGAACTGTGGTGTTGGAGAAGACTCTTGAGAGTCCCTTGGACTGCAAGGAGATCCAACCAGTCCATCCTAAAGGAGATCAGTCCTGGGTGTTCATTGGAAGGACTGATGCTGAAGCTGAAACTCCAATACTTTGACCACCTCATGCAAAAAGATGACTCATTGGAAAAGACCCTGATGGTGGGAGGGATTTGGGGCAGGAGGAGAAGGGAACGACAGAGGATGAGATGGCTGGATGGCATCACCGACTCAATGGACATGAGTTTGAATAAGCTCTGGGAGTTGGTGATGGACAGGGAGGCCTGGCGTGCTGCGATTCATGGGGTTGCAAAGAGTTGGACACGACTGACCAACTGAACTGAAGTGAATGAAGATAATAGTGACCTCCTTCAAAAGTTCCCATGCAGGCACTGCTACAGGCAATGCCCCCAACCCTGCAGCCGGCCACTGCTGACCCACACCTCCGCCAGATGCTCATCTAGTAAAATATAATTATTTTACATTTTCAGATTTTGAAAGTGCTTTCATAAATGTCATCTTACATGGTCCTCATAATAAAGTGAGCAGCATTATGTTCTCCATTTTATACATGAAGAAACAGACTCAGGGTAACTTCTGAGGATCACTTAGAAGTGATCTTACTTAACTTACTTACTTAAGATCTTACTTAAGTGATCTACTTAACTTAGGTAACTTCTCTAGGATCACTCAGCCAGGAAAAGGCAGAGCACGGATTCTAACCCATGGCTTTGTCTTCATATACCATGCTCAACCCCTGACCTGAAACAGAAGATATGAGGCACACTATAAAAACACATCTCTACTGCCCCACTGAACCACTGTCTTCATTTTTGCCTGATACCTGATTAGAAAAGAGAAAAAATTCACTTATTATAATCCCACTTGCATAAATACAGTGTGAATCAGTGCCTTTGGCACTCTAGAAACAGGAGATGAGAAAGATCACAGCTAAATGGAAGTAGCCTTTTTAAAACACCTCCTGGTAGTTCAGATGGTAAAGTATCTGCCGACAATGTGGGAGACCCAGGTTTGATCCCTGGGTTGGGAAGATTCCCCTGGAGAAGGAAATGGCAATCCACTCCAGTACTCTTGTCTGGAAAATCCCATGGATAGAGGAGCCTGCTAGGCTACAGTCCATGGGGTCACAAAATGTCTTTGTAAATGTGGACTCCTCTGTCACCCATGCTGCTGATACCAGTTTCTCACTGATTTGGATTTTATGGCCTATCTGCGTGCCTATGTTCTACCTAATTGAAGAGTTACCTTCTTGCCATCCATTTTGCAAGGGATTTTCAACCACAAGCTCAAGTTCCTTTCCCTGATCTCAGTACCCCCAATCACTTGTCAGGCTCTTCAACTAATTAATCTTTTATACTCAAATGCCTGCCCAACTTTCAGTCTCTCCTGCTAGATTCTTTGCCTCCCCACTGAGCTTCTATATCTTTCCCTGCAAAATCAAAACCACACCCTTATGCTCTGGCATTGGGAAGGATGATGGAAGGATCAGATGTTACTAAAATTTATAATAATCCTTTAATTTGAGTTGCCAGGACAGGAAAGAGAAGTGCTGAGGTCAGGACATGTGACCATGAGGTAGGTGACGAAGTGTGTCAGAACCATGTAGCAGTTGGTGGGGAAATCACATAAAGATCTGGAGATAAAATAAACCAGAGGGCTGGTAGTTAGGGTACTCCACCTATCTATAAAGATTCCAGGACATATAAGAGATTAAATACAGAGGATGAATAAAATCTGATGATTTAATGTATAAAATGGTGGCTGTTTTATAATTTAAATTTGCAAAGACAGTAGAATTTAAGTGTGTTCACCAAAAATTAAACAGTAAGTACAGAAAGTTGCATAGTACGCTTAGGGGTACAAATAATCAGTTAGGTTGAAAAAAAATCTTTTCTTTGAAAAAAACATTTTTGACATTCATATTGGGTAACTCTGCATCTCAATATAGTCATTACTCATCACATAAACAGTCTCACACTGTGTGAACCATTTTAATTAAAAATTAGGGTCAATTACAAGCACATGATTGTCACTTGCCTTAAAGGTCCTGTTATCCAATAGCTTTCCTATTAAACACAAGCATTCTACACTGTAGATAAAATATGCACCTTGATTTAAACTGCCTCTTTTTGCTTCAAAATTCCAAACTACCTTTATAGTCTTTATGTTAGCAAATATATCCACTTCAGAAAGCAACGGCTATTAAGATTCTATTTTCTCTGTGGATTGCCACTTAAGACATGAAGCTTAATATCATCAAGAGGACTGAATCTTTGATAACAAAGAAGCCCTATTTTTTGCAGTTGAATTAATGTCCTGTTCAAAGAAACCACTTCACTCAGAAATGGAGCATAGAATAGATCCAGCTGCAGCGGCTGTCAGAACTTCAGCAGTTGCATATCTGTAGGGTTTATAACCGGAAATGAAGGTCAGGCAGAGAACGGGAGATTATACAGAGTATTGGAGACTATATACAGTAAAATTATGTCTCTTTGGTGTTGCAAGGAGTGTGCTCTTAGAAGCTAGTGCTTTTCTTTATCTTATCTGGGCAAAAAAGTAAACAGAAAATTCTCATTACCTCTCAATGTCCGTGAGCCTGGAGGAGTCCCGGAATCCTTTGGCAAAAGGGTTGCTATCTATTTTCAGCTTGGTTATCTGGAAAGGGAAGATGAGTACACAAAACAGTGTCATGTTTGTGGTCAAGGAAACAAAATCAGAAATAAAAAGTTTGTTCATTTTCCATCATAGCACCCCAAGAATGTCTAAGAATATCTTAATATCACTCAGTATTGTGACAAAGCTTGAAATTGCTAAAGAAATTCACAAATTTGGGGGAATTGGTCAGAGAAGGCATCAAGGAAAAGGAAGTATTTGAGGACAGAGTATCTGTTCCTAAAACAGGCTGGAAGTCAATAAATAGAGACAGTTAGAAATGCGGGCCTTTTATGAACAGTGTGCCTGATGTGAGAAGTATTTAAGAGTAGTGAAAGGTTAGGGTGGACTAGGGAATGAGGAAACTGTTCAGAATTGGACAATACCCACCAGCATGGGTGGGTAACAGGAATGAAAACAAGAATGTTGCCTCATGCTGACTTGACAGCCTCATTTGTTAATACCATGGGCACCTATATATACCATAATAGATACCCCAATAATAGCTTCATGTTCAACACTGTACTGAAAAACATGATATAAATACAAGATATAAAGTTTTCAGCATATAAATTTACCCCATTCCCTCTCCATCTGACTAAATTAGAATCAAATTAATGGGTCTCCTGTTAGCCTCCCATAGAATGTTACTTACAGACTCTACGCTTATTTGGAAAAAAGTATTTGAAAAAATAGTCTTATTTCCTAATAAGAATCATAGTCTGAAGTACTAAGTGTCTATGCTGTGCTAGCCATAATTCCCACAGTACACAATATTAATGTAGAAAGATTCATTAAAACATATGCACTTCATGTTTCAGGAAAAATATATTAGGTACAAAAAAAATAAATAAATAAAGGAAACACTAATTAAAAGATACTTGACTTGCTAAAAGGCATGGAGGAGAATGTAGGACACAACTAGTTAGAACCACAGACACCTTTAAAGAGAGTCATAGCTCATTTGTGTCCAAATGAGAGCCCACATTCATCTTTGGAGAGAGGGAGAAACACACACGCAATAGTCTTAACCTGAAAAAAAGTTAGAGGTTGAGGGAGGCATGCCTCCCTCTTTCAAAGTAAATAGTAAACACAATTAAAAACAGAACAACAATTAACAACAGTTTGAAATATTGTTTTGCCAATACTTTTCCTTTGATCAGAATGTATCTACTGTTCACTTTAAACCATTGACACCTAAAGAACTGCTTTATTCATTACAAAAGAAAATCATTGTTTTTCTTTCTAAAGTTTTCTCAGTATGTGCTAACCAATGTGCAAAGTACAAAAAGCTATATACCTCACTCAGAATAGAACTTCCCACACTGTCCTGGCCAGAGAGATGCTACTTCTCTATCATTAATATTGGCAAGTTGTAAGATTGATTCTTTGATATTAGTTTTTTTCTTATACAAGTTATTTATTTTGATTTTCTAGCATATTTTATTTATTTAAATTTATTTTTAAGGACACTTGGCAGTACCTCAGAAATTCTTATTTTTAGCCTTATTTTTAGACATTTACTTTAGAGCAGCCAAAAATAAAATTGCTAATTTCCTTTTTAGCTTAGTTAATGGAAAATGGTAAACAGTGAAGAAAATAACTTAGATAAGTAAGAAACCTGTTCTTAATGGACAACTACAGGACTTTAGTTAGGCACAGAAAGAAATATACAGGAACTGCTGAGGTTGTCCCTAATGTATGGCCATCAATATGTAGAGAACCTCTCTCACACTCAGCCACCTCTTTAACTAAGGGCATGGATTTCTAAAAGGTAAAGTCTATTTTAACCATTCTTTTCAGACTAGGATTTAGTACTGAAGGTCAATTTTCAGGGCAAAGGCAAAATATTTTGTTTGAAATAAATTATAAACATCTTATAAAGTCCAAACAATCAATATATTTTAGGATTATAAATTATCAACAAGATTTTTGAATCCTCAAAGACAGGATTTTTTTCATCTCTTTCTACTGAATAATTATAAATGAAATATTTCAGATTTCTAAATTGCTTTATAGTTCATGAAAACACTTTCACAATAATTCATCAACAAAACTGAGAACATGCAGTCCCTAAAATTCCACGGAGCAGGCAGAGGGATACACAGCTGACCAGAACTGGAAGTCATTTAAGTGTTACTAAAAAGGATGGCAGAATATTCACTGCAGTGTTACTGACATTAAGGGTGAACCAATCCCAGAAATTTTCAAACTGAAACTGTGAGGTAGATGAATAAAGTTAAGGCTCCTTTCAAGTTTAGTTTCTACAAGCTCATTTATAAGATTAAAAAGTGAATGGATTTGCCAGTGGATAAAATTTTCTGAAGACAGAAGCAAATAATATCTGATGCAGAAACAATTTTGAACAAAGTCCTTTTGCAACCATCCCTCTAAAATGTGAACCATCTCAGGAATTCCCTGGCAGTCCAGTGGGTAGGATTCAGTGCTTTCACTGCCAGGCCCAGGGTTCAGTCCGTGGTCAGGGAACTAAGATCCTGCAAGCCGTGCAGTGCAGCAATAAAAAAATGAAATACAATTTTTAAAAATGTGAACCACATCAAGCTTTCTTTGAGTCTTCATAAACTAAAAGAATATAAAATATTATCCATATAATAACTAAAGACTTTCTATCCACTTTGTCCCTGAAAAGGATTTTGAGAATTCTATTTGTTGTTATTTGTATTTCCAAAAGGTAAAGACTATTAGCTTAGAATGTGATGATTGTGGAGTTACTGTAGAGAGTAAATACTTTCAGTGTGTGTTGTCAGCTAATGTGTCACAGTATCTAGTATTATCACCATAACTTTGAATGAGGAAGTAAATAAAATTCAACACAGGTTTTCAGATTTCTTTGGAACTTTCTTTCATTTATTAGAATTTTTCTCTTTCTAGTATCTTTATAGTATTTCTTTCATCATCCCCAAGAGTACCAATGGTAACTTTTCTACTTTATAGTTTGATATAATTTCAAACTGTAACTTCAAGAATAGTATATACAGCTAGATTTACTAATTGGTTCAGCACTGATTTAACTTTAGTGTGCTAGTTAGAAAAGGAGCTCAGGACATTAACCCAGTATTTACTTTCTCTATGGGCCGTGTTACCTAATTCCTGTTATCTAATAATTACTTTTGAAAGTTAGAGGATAAAAGCTGAATAGATCTCTTACTACAATTGTTTGGGGCCCCTGAACTGATCACTACAGTCTTGAACAGGCTTTATGAAGTACTGATTAACAACACAGGAACTGTGGGTTAACCTTCTTAATGAGCTCACTGTGGTGTCACTAGACTCGGTCTATCAGGGTGCCAATGGTAAGTTCCTCAGAAATGTTTGTTGAACTTTGCTTCAAAAACAAGCAGTCAGAAATATGATTTCATGTTTACCAGTTATAGACTAAGCGAAATTCTTTTTAAGTTTATATAAAAAGCATTTTATTTTGTTTTCTATTTTCAGAAAAAAAATTTTAAATAGCAAAGTTTTAGCATTCTAGTTAATCATACATTTTTAAAAGTTTAGGCACAGATTTTATCCCATAGATATTTAAATAAAAACCAGTAGCTAACAGAAATTCAGTTTTGCAGATATAGTTTTACATCCCTTTGTGAAATTTGGGAGAACTGAAAAAGTTATACATTTGAGAACTGATGAAAGAAAGGATCTGAGTTATATACAGTGATTTCAGTTGGACATCATTTTTGTAATATAAAATACCTGCAGCTTTTAACACCATTGGACAATGTCACCCATGTCAAAGGTAAAACTAAAAGAAGGATCCCAAAATAGTCAATTACTGAACATAACATGTATAGAACCCCATGTGAAACTACTGAAATGTCTTTATGAGTCAACAACAAATTTTAAAAATGCAGTGTTTTTCATTTTGTGAGGAAAAACAATTAGCAAGTAAGGACAGTAGTATGTGCTTAAGAAATCCTGCAGTTTCAAGTGTATCTACACACATGCAAATCACAGACTGAAAGTGAAAAGTGAAAGAGTCAGTCACTCAGTGTATCTGACTTTTTGTGACCCCATGGACTGTAACCCACCAGGCTCCTCTGTCCATAGAGTTCTCCAGGCAAGAATACTGGAGTGTAAAACAAACAAACAGAAAAAGAATACTGGAGTGGGTTGCCGTTCCCTTCTCCAGGGATCTTCCCAACCCAAGGATTGAACCTGGGCCTCCTGCATTGCAGATAGATACTTTACCATTTGAGCCACCAGGGAAGCCCATTCCAGCAAAAATATACGCCCCCCCTTTTTTTTTTCATGTATCGTCTTGAAAATATGGATCATAATGCATTTCCTAACCACAAAATTCACTTATTCAACATCTCCTTTATCTATAGATAAGTGTATGCATAAATAGAGGGCAGAATTTTACACTGCCAGCTGCACCAAACAGAAAGGGACTTTTTCCAATAGTTATTATTCCATGTGATATCACTGGACTCTGAGTAGAGCTGAGGTTCCCAACCACAAGGTGAAATTGGTCCTCAGAGACCATTTCTCCAATTATCAGGAAAAGATCTGTCCAAAGGCATTTAAAAATGAAACCTGACCTACACTTCAACTCTAAAGCAATGGCTTGCCTGCTCAAAAACAATGTATGACCTTTAAATCTTAAATTATAAAATAGTTTGTTGAGAGTGTAATGTATTTAGCTTTAAACTAATAATGTAAAGAAATGCAATCATTTCCTCACAAAAACCAGAGGAAAAAAATAGGAAAAAAAGTGCCTTTTTCATTTCTCACAAATAAAACTACCAGACACAATAAATGAGAAGCTTTTTCACAAATTCTATTGGACACTTTGATTTTGCTGTTAATATATGTGAAAGTAATGTCTATCCAAAGTTTAGGCGATATAAATATGATCTTAAGTGTGAAATTTTAAATCTTTTCTTTATTTTCTGTTTTTTAGCCATGAAAAACTTATTTTATATTATACTTAGTACATATTTAATTTGTTTAATTCCTATATATTTATTTTGTTTATTATAGGCAAATCAGTAGACAAGCATGATATAGCAGTGTTTATTTCTATGCTTCTACCTTTAAAGCCATAACCCCTAGCACAATGCCGGTGTGGGGGGGTGGGATGTACACACACACACATACACACACACACACACACACGTGTGTGTGCACGCACGTGGCATTGTGCTAGGGATTATGGCTTTCAAGGTAGAAGCACAGAAATAAACTCAGACATGGCAGGATCTATTGAGAAAATCAGTTCTGAATTTAGTCATTTTTATTGTGGGTTATTTAGCAATGAAATGATAGACTAATCATATTAATCACTACACTTAATGATGCAGTGAAAGCTAGATAGGCACTGGTAGGTGGATTTTTGAGCCCACTTATAATCTTAACTAGAAATAAACATTTCTCAAGAGGAGTAACTAGTATTGGGATATGTGGTTATTAGAATCTTAACCTATTTTAACTAAGTATTTCCAAATTCAGTTTCCTAGCCTTTACACTGTCAGTGGTCACTTTTTTAATCCTGCAATCTAGCATGATGCTTTCAAAAAGTAGGAATTAACACCCAAAAGGAATTATCCCACTTACCAGATTTGTGACCTTGGGGTAGTGTATTAACCATTCTGAACCTCAGTTTCTTCATCCACAAAACGGAGCTCATAGGGCCTTATTCAGGGGATTAGTATCAGAATTAAGTGAGATATTGATTAAAAATATAGAGTTTTTTTTTTTCTAAGTTAAAAGTAACATCCAAACCATGAACCTTTGGTGAATACTAGTTTAGGGGAAGGGGGTAGGGGTTATAAAGACATTTGTTGGTCCATCCTGAAATTTTTAATACAAACTCAGTTTTAAATGTGTTAAAGATATTGTGGTTACAAAATAATCTTATTGTCAGTCTAGGCTTGTAGAAGTACTTACAAGTAAAGTATCATGATGCATACAACTTAGTTTCAAATGATTGAGAGAAGGGGGAAAGTATATACCTCAACAGAGGTTGAGAAATGGAGCAGGGAAGGTAAAAAACTGGAAAAATTTAATTGTTGAATCTGGGTAGAGAGTACATGTGCTTCATTTTACTATTTGTTTAACTTTTGGATTTTGAAAATCTTCCAGATAAATGTTGAGTGGGAACAAAAGAATTCAATGAGATAATGTCACTAAAGCATACAGCTCCTATTAGAAACAGCTAATGCCAGAGGATATTCTGTCAATTTAGAATGATGACCATCTTGTCACACTGACTGCTGTCAGTGTGGGGAGCTCCCTGCACAGAGCAGGTAAGCAGTGAGCACATGCTGAGAAGAAAAGAAATTAACATAAAGAACTAAAACCCTTTAAAATAGGATGTCTTGAATCCATCAGGGTCACAAGCTGAGAGGAGGTGAGGTTCTGCTTTTTTGGGGACATAAGTACCTAAAGCTTAGAGGTTAAGAACACTGACATTTAACACCTAACCACCTGGATTTAAATCTATGATAGAAGCAGCAAGGTCTCATTGGATAAGTTATTTAACTCCATGCCTCAATTCTTTTGGCTATGAAATGCAACATAAAAATACTGTTGTTCCTACCTCAAAATATTTGTGAGGATTAAATAAGACAATGTACTTTAAATGGTGTTTTGCACATGGTAAGTACCCAAATATTAGCTATTATTATAATCATGTAGATAATAGCCTCCTGTTCCATTTTATGTGATATGAGAGGTCCTGCCAATATTTATTCAGGATTGCGCTTTTGCCAATTAGACCAAATCTCAGATGTTATACTTAAAATTCCCTTAATTTTGTTCTGTCCATAATTTTCACAGATGATTTTCATAAAAGCAATGAAGTTTTCACATGACAAATTCTTCTTTCATTCTCAAACATCAACAGGGTCTCTTGTATTTCCCTAATAACTCAGATGGTAAAGCATCCACCAGCAATGCAAGAATCCTGGGTTCGATCCTTGGGTTGGGAAGATCCCCTGGAGAAGGAAATGGCAACCCACTCCAATATTCTTGCCTGGATAATTCCATGGACAGAGGAGCCTGGCGGGCTACAGTCTATGCAGTTGCAAAGAGTTGGACACAACTGAGCAACTAAAACACACACACACACACACAATGTTATATGAGTCTTTCCCTGGTAGCTCAGTAGGTAAAGAATGTGCCTGCAGTGCAGGAGATGTGGGTTCGATCCCTGGGTTGGGAAGATCCCCTGAAGAAGGAAATGTCAAACCACTCCAGTATCTTTGCCTGGAAAATCCTATGTACAGAGGAGCCTGGCGGGTTGCAGTCCAAGGGTCGCAAAGAGTCGGACACAACTGAGTGACTAATACTTTCTTTTTTCAATGTTTATAGTATAAAAGCTACTAATTCAGTTAGTATAAGTTGAATGCATGTTTCAGGAATCTTTTGTGAACCTATGACATATATATACATGTGTCCTTAAATAAATTGAAAACGGGATTGTTGATGTCAGTGTTCTAGATTCTAAGAAAAGTAAGATTAGTGTTTTAGGCCTCTGTGGGCTTCAGTCTATACCCAAATTTTTAACTTGGACATTCTCTGAAAGTTGGCACTCTTGTGTTATTTTAGGGATAATAAAAAAGTTATAGTACTTTGCTTTCACTTAAAGATAAATAGTATGATAACATTCGTACATTGATTTCATTATTTATACATTAGTTCATTTTTTAAAATGCCACAAATTTTGAAAAATCCATATGGTGACAAATCCTCTTTGGACATTCCAGAGACAGTCTAATAGTCACAACATGCCTTTTTGATAGAGTGCCTTAGAGTTTCAAAGGCATGTTTATGCACAGCATCTCATTTGAGCTTTACAGGAATTCCCTAAGATGGGCCAGTTCTTAGTCCCAGTTTACAGGCAAAGAAAATGGCAGCCACAGTGATGAACTGAAGTCTACTCAAAGTCATATAGAAAGCCTTCAAGTTTATGCTGATCATGAAGGAATAAATGGGGAAGAATCTTAATAGCACCCAGTCCTTAGCAACACTTTAATAATTATTTACCAACTTAGAAATATAAGCCTTAGAAATGCATAAATTTTAAATATGATTTACAAGAGTAGAAAATATAAAACTCAATATTATAAATTAGATTTCTTGATGTTTACATAATACAGTTTATTATCTAAAGAGGTATTTAAAATCATTCTACTATAATTAGCCTGAATTTCAGCTAAGTAAGTCTCACAAAATATCTAACAAATCAATAATTTGGATAGTTGGCTAGACTGTGTGTGCTAATTTAGCAGAAAAACTGAACTTTAAAATTTTATGAATTCATGAGTATATGGTTATGTACATCATGAGGCCCCTACCAAGAGGAGGTAAAGGAAGCTGGTAAGAAGTCAGTTTGGGATAGGTTTTGGCAGGAGAATGGGCCGTAAACAGCTTGACTGGGAAAGTAACGGTTCTAGGAAACACAGACCTATATAACACTGAGCTGCAGTCACTCAACATACTTGGAGGTCCCGGGGCTGAGTCTCCATAGCTTTCTTCAAAGTAAACTTCCGTTTTGAGTACTGGGATAGCCCTTCTCTCCAAAATGATAAAAGCATCTCCTAAAACCTCATCTTTTTTGGCAAAAAAAATTGTGAAGGGTACACTCACCAGTTGATTCTGGTAGGCAGTGACTGCTGTAAAAACTGTTTCTGGAAAGATGAATGTTCTGAATTCTTCAGACTTCAGATTGAGTAATGAGGCTGTGTGGTCTTTCTTCTTAATGATGTGCACCCGTGGCTGGTACTTATGCATTGAGTTCAAAATTATCTACAACAAAGAATGGCAAGCACAGTACTGAAATGTAGGTTTTTATGTTGCTAAACAGGCCCAATTACAAAGAGGCAAAGAAAGAATCATAAAATCTACAGTTTCAAATGCAGTTTTAAGATTAAAATCAACCCTTTTCATTCTTCAGGCAAGTAGTTTGTACATAATACTGCAGAGTCATCATTGTGAATCACACTTTACCAAAAGAACTGCAAATAACACAGGTTGTTTCAAGTGTTCTTTCTAAAATTATAGCGGAAAAAGTCATCTGGAGGATAGGTTTATTTTGAAAAAAAAAGTTTTTGTTTTTTAGTCTGGTTAGAGGCAGTATGTCTCTAAATTTTCTAAAGTAAGAAATTACATATTTGAGGAAGCAGATTGTTACTTGGGACAGTGGGGGTTTGGGGGTTGGGTGGGTGGCGGATGGTAGGGAAATAAAACTTAAAAGGCAGTGAGGTGTGAGATAGACTTTGGTTGGAATACTGAATCCGATACTTTCTCGCTCTTTTAATCTTGGGTCAAGTGATCGTACCTTTCTCACCCCATTTTCTTAAATGCAAAAGCATTTAAGTTTTAAACTCACAGGAGTTGTGGTGAGAATCAGATGATGTAACTCTTGTAAATCACATAGCAAATACGAAGTGCTCAGTAAACGTAACTGTATTATCATCATCATCATCATGTCTGATAGCTTCATTAATCCCAACTTCCAGTTACAAACTAAATAGGAATGATAATGACAGCTGTCTTCCATTCTATAGCTAATAAAAGTTGCCCAATACTTAGAAATCAGAAACATACCCTTGTTTACAAAGGCACTATTTTTCATGTATCATTTAAATAAAATACAATTGCCATTAAGAAATCTGAACAACAAAATTTACTTTCAGATATTAAAGATTTTCTATATCTTCCCCAATGTCACACCCAGACAGCTACCTAAGTATACAAAATTGAGTATGTTTTTCTTGGGATAACAGGGCTCACATTGTATGCCCTTCACCTCAGGAGCCTAGCAGAGAGCATGGTTCTCAGAGGAGGTGTTTAATACATGCTGTGGCAGGACCAGGGTCAACAGCATGCAGTATTGTTGCTCTCTTGTTTTCTTGGCTAACTTGGGTGTGGGTTAATGTTAATGCTGGTTGACTTTAGGAGAGTTAAATACTAGTCACTGTGAGATAACTGATATAGAATCAATCTATTTCTGTACTGAGATATACACCAACAAAGTTACAGGGCATTAACTGGCATAGAATTTTGAACATGCCATCTTTTTATGATCCCAAATCTGAACAGGAATTACTGAAGCAAATGAGAGCTTCAAATAAATCAAAATAAACTTTAAAAAGTTATTTCTTTGTATAATGCATTTATTCCAAGGAATTCAAGAATCTGTGCTCAGTCCTAAAACTGGAATAAACTTGAAGTGACAAAGCCAAACATTTGCCTCCTGAAACTGGTATAAGAAAAACCTGAGCATTCACTATATGTTCTACCAAGAAGATAAGAGTTTTCAAATCACATATGCACACACATACATACACACTGGAAAAAGCCCTAAGTTTTAAATAAGGTCCCCTCTTCCTTATTTATACCAGCCCTAGGTTAATTTCCTTTAGGAAAGGGTATCGGACAGACTCAGACCTGAGACTGAATCTCAGACCCCAGGGCTTCTTGAACCTCTGCTCAGGCTTTCATGGATCTAAGAAATACTGATAGAAATGTAGACTTTACTTCATTGGAGAAATAAACTCCTGGAAATAAGAAATTTTCCTATTATAAAAACCAAAAATGTATCTGTAAAGGGGGGCTTCTTCAGGGCTGATTCAGAGAACTTGTCTAAACAACACAAGATCTAAAAGATTTCCTTGTAGTTTTCAGAACATACTGTTTCTAGTGAAAAAGAGTTATATTAAATAATAAAATTTTAAAGCCAAAATGGATATTAGCAATCATCTAAGATTTAGGCAAACAATTTGTCACGATCTGATCTTGGCATAATCAGACTAGAACCCAGAGCTCCTGAAGTATAGCTTAGTGCTATTCCTCTTCATGAAACTGATGCTGAAAGGAAAACACACCAATTCTGGACAACTGAGTTGTAGGTTAACCTAGTTACTCTGACTTGGTCAGAAAAAACAAAGTCTCCTGTGGGCATATGAATGGTGGCAGTGCCTGAAGTGATTTACTTGGTTTTAGGGTCAATCCAATTTTTAGAACCATGTCTAGAGCTCTCTATTTTATTATATATGTATATGTAACCATTTTTTTTTAAGTTTTGAAACTCTTCTACTAAATTGCATAGATCCAATAAAAATTAAAATCTTAAGTAACAAGAGCCTTAGTAAAAGGGATAAGAGAGAGAATAATTATATGAGAATATCTAAGCCAAGGAGAGAAATTATGAAAATACCAACTTGCTTTCTGGCATACAGGGCAAAGGAAGAAAAAAAAAAGAAACAGTATTCTCCTCATCACAAAGAAGCGTGCATGTCTGTCTGAAGTTTCCTTAGCATAAAATCTAAAACACTTTTTAAAATGTAAATCTTTACTTAAGAGCATGAAATAACATCACAGATAGTTCCTTAAAAAGCAGTCTTAGCATGTGTAAAAGCCTTTGTCAATGGCTGTTCTGTTAAATGTTGATAGGAGCTCAGAATTCCAGTTTCTCTTTTCTCCACATTTTGATGAATTCCTTATTGATATATAAAATCAAATCATTTTGTTTTTAACAGCAAGACTTCTCTGTGTTCTAAATATTCATCAGATTCACTATAGAGGAGATATGTAATAAGCGAACAGCACTTTTCCAAATTTATTTGTACACAAAACCCTTTGGTCCCATTGTATCTCACAAGAATGTATTCTGCAGAACACACTTTGGGAAACCTCCACAGGAGGTCTCAGCCCCATTCCTTTTATGCTGTGTTATCTATCACTGATAGAAATTAAATATTTAATCCAAGAATGGGCTATAGTAACCTCCAAAATGCACATTCCCTGTGTTTAGTTGGCACAGGTGGTAAAGCATTTGCAGAAGTGGGATTCCATGGTGCCAAAGGTCCCTGACCCTCTTACATAGTAATGGCATACAGCATCTCTGTATGTATAAGGGTTCCCCAAAGAACACAAGAATGTTCTCACAGAATGATTCAGAGCGGGAAGGTTGGAGGGGAAAAGGGAGAAAAGGAAGAGACTTCAAGAGAGAGAGTTTCACGTGGCTTCTCCATTCTACCCCAGGGAATCCAGGTAGTCCAAGCACCGTACTTACGTGGCCATGCTGATCCAGTTCATTGTTTGTGAGTTTCACCTTTTCAAAAGACACCATCTGTTTGAGTAGCTGCTCGCCAGTAAAAGGAGAGTCTGGATGTACATACAACCTAAGAAAATTATGACAGAATTTTATTGAGACATTTAAAAAAAATCTCTCTGGGGTTTTAAAATACCCTGATTCTAAAGGAACACAAAAATCTCATATAAATGGTAATTTTTTATTTGCCTCATTTAATCTCAAATTTAATAATACAGCAATGCCAAAATAATGCTAAAACATACAGATGTGTTTCTTTGTGTACCAATGATTTTAAAGGGGTAATACTTAATACATTTTCTATTATTAATTTTCAAGGGATAATACTTAATACATTTTCTATTATTTGCTGAGCAAGTTGTTTTTTTAAAGGTGATTTTTTTTTTCATCTAATTAATCAACTACTGGTCTGCTTCTGTCAAATATAAAATTCAATTGTAGGTATTTTCAAAAGAAGGTCTAGGTTAAACTAATTGCATAATGAGCTCCTAGTATAAACATTGCTAAAAAGCAGTGAAGACAAATAATTTAAGAGGAAACAATTCTAGAGAATCTATCCATTTAAACTCGAAGGTGGCTCAGTTTAAAGTTTGTTTTCTTTATAAGCATGACAGAGTAATTTTAATACAGTGACCCAGGGAACTTTTAATAGCTCACATAGTCTATTTGCTTCTCCTGGTACCTTAATATTATTTCTTTCATCATTACCTCGTTAAGTGCTCGCTAATGAGAGTGAAAACAAGCTGGGTAAGCTTCAAATTATTTAGTGTATTTATCTGTAAGTAGACTAAGCACTCCCCCCTCCCCAAAAAAAGCTTTGATGGGGGAAAAATGTACTTATCAGGTATTTGTCATTTATTGATCACCTGCTATGTTTTTGGCTAGCTTTTACCTACTGACAGTTAAATGCAAGTCATTTGCTTTACCTGCAAAGCTTTAAACTAAGTACAACCCTTTGTAAATCACAATCCTAATATCCACTCAACAGAAGCTTTTCTGAAGTCATGGGAGATCACAGAACTAATAACAGGAGAAGGAAATGTCAACGGGATAAATTCCTTTATCCATGCCACAGGTTATTTATATTTATATTTTGTAGAGAATCTTTGTAACTACCATTAAACATACATATTATGGACGGAACAAAGGAAAAAAGTTTTTTTAAAAAGCCTTTCCCAACAATATTCATGTAAAGAATAAGAAGTCTATGACCTGGTTTGTCACACAGAGGGCTAACAACAGAAGAACTGGAATCACAGGCTGCAACTCACAAAGCCCACCAGAATCTAAGCAAAAAACAGGCTACCAGTACCAAAGATTCTTACCAGACCCGTACAAGAACTTTAAAGGCTTTAGGTATTTGTCTGCCTGAATACTTTTTTAAAGGAGTGCTCAGAATTGCCTTTCAGTTGAAGTATTCTTCAATGACACACCATAATATTAAATCGCTTTTCAAGTATCACCCTTCCAAGGCTGTTACTCTATAGACACAGTTGTTTTACTAATAAGCACCACATCCTGATTAGAAAAGACACTGATGCTGGGAAAAATTGAAGGTAGGAGGAGAAGGAGACGACAGAGGACGAGATGGTTGGATGGCACCGCTAACTGAATAGACTGAGTTTGAGCGAGCTCTGGAAGATGACGAAGGACAGGGAAGCCTGGCGTGCTGCAGTCCATAGGGTCACAAAGAGCCAGACAGGACTGAGGGCCTAAGCAACAACAACCACATCCTACCCACTCCTCCAAAGAGGACTAAAAATATTTAGTCCTAAAAGTTGATGAGATGGTCCCTCTTTATGTATCAATTTACCACATATAATAAGATTAATAAATATTAATTTAAATATCAACTTTTTTTAAAAAAGGAAATGTCCTATATGAAAAAAAAAACATTATTTAGGTTATGTATAATGTCTTGCCCATTACTATGATCAAATGATACTGTCAAGCATCATTTCTTCTGATTAGAAACAAGTGACTGATGAATTTTAGTCTAAAATAAAGTCTTTCAAAGAGCTAGAATTGCAAGGAATTTCTACCATAAGTGCAAAAATGATCACCTCCCAAATTCTTTACCTTTCCCATATGTAGCTAGAAATTATAGCAGTGTCTTTTAATAGCAATAAAAAATAGTTGCTTGTATAATCTAGAATATTTCTATCCTATAAGGCACAAACATTTTAATCTAATATCAATATAAATAAACTGAACTAGGATGAATGAAAAAGCCTACAGGAAGCCCCGCTTCTCTCAAGTCTCGTGGGACTTAAAATTCCAGCAATAGCTTAAACATGCTTCAGTTAAGATAGTGTATTGGTACATGCTTTCTTTTTCCAGCCAGAACAGATTAGTAACATAAACAAGGCATGTCATATTTCCAACTGGCCTAAACCAGTTCCCCATACCTTTAGATAGGAGGAAAATGTATGCTAAATAAGAGTGATTAACTTCTTAGAGGAAGGACTTAGAGGAAAAAAAAAAAGAAAAGGGGTGGGGGAGGCTGCTTGTAAAAATGGTTAGGAATCTGCTAAAATACTCCGCTCTCTGTCTCTTTTCTTTCTCTCTTCCCCCTTTAAAAAAAATTGTAAATATTGGAAAGAAGCTCTAGATTAATGTGAATTGGCTAGTTAATAGTAAATAGTAGAGAACACTAATTATATTTAAATATCTATTGTAAATTTGTCATTTATAGTCACTCAAAATGAGTGTCATTAAAAATTTTTTTTAGTCCTGATTGTTATTTAATATATCAATTTGGAAAGGCTGGGATCCTTCCTAGTCTCTTGTGGAAATGGAAAACTCAGAGAGGCTCCTTTTAATCTTGTCTCTAGTGTACTTAACAGACTGCAAGCTTAATAATGTGATCGACTACTAAGTAAGCTTAATATTCCATTTGAACTGTATGTGTAAATTATCTGTGTTGATTCTGTGCCTTAAGACTCCAAACTATATACTTAAAAAGAACCATACTTTGAACCATAACATCAAAGTTCCTTAACCCGTACATTTAAATAAATTCTTAGCCTTGATATGAACTGCCTATCAATTACAAAAATTACATAGTCATAAAACAACTTTAAAGCTGTAAGTTTTGGTTTTAGAGCCCTAAATGTATAATCAGCTATGTAAATGTAGTGTAAAATGTAAAGATTCACTGTTTGTATTAAACAGTGCCTGTTAGATTTCTGTTCTTCAGCTAGTCATAGTAACATAAAGTAAAAATGCCGTTTTCTTCCCTCCAGAATGCTCACTTGGGCAAAGCAGCAGCTATAAAGGTTTGCATGTGATTTGTTAAACAGGGTTCTCCTGGAAAAACATTACCAATGACTAGGACAAAAATGGGCATGTTTTGTTTAGGTCATTACCTAACATATTAATTGAATAATTTTTCAGTGAAAGTATATTAACCTGATGTTGAATTACATTTATCCACTAATTATGGAGTGGGGGGAGAGTTTGTTGTTCATACTTAAAAATCTCTGAGCCTTTTACTAGTCAAAAAAAAAAAAACCCACATTTACCAAAATGATGTTTACTATGTGAAGTTATAACCACACTATAACAAATATCTACTACAAGCTACAAATACACTAAAATGCACACTTTTAAAAAGAATTTTAGGGCAGTCACTTCATCAGTAGGTTTATTCTGTTGGGTGTTAGCCAAATAGAAACGAGGGGTGTCATATGAAATGGGTCCAGATTTCTAACATATTCCAATTGAAATTTAAGAAAAGCTTTGAAATGAATTATGAAGAAAGATAATATTAAAGGCAGTGTTCTGAGTACAAACTCTGCCTTTCTCAGAGACTAATCCATATTTTGTATAGTTAATCCTGGAGTGCCTGGGCTTGGAACGCTTTCTTACCGGAACTCACAGCTTTAGAAACAGACCTGCTGAAAATTCAAACAGCCAGGGCAGGAGACATTTTGCTTGGCTGAGAATCTGGAGACACAAACCTGGCTGGCAGTGGAGGGTCCGCTTTGCCAGCCACCAGCCAGGAGGACCGATGGTAGGCATAGCGGTACCTCTTGTTGTCCACAGGGACGATGTCCATCAGGACTATGTACTTGGCCTCAGAATCCACACCGGAAAAGGACACACGGATGGTAGGAAACATCCTCCTGACACAGTGAGACAAACAGAATTGCCAGAATTAGAGAGGAAGAGAGGTCCCTTCCCTCTCTACCCAGCCCCCAAACTCTTTGTTTCCTGTAAAGCCACAGAGATGTGAATACAGAGACTGACCTTCTCCCAAGCCTAGATAATCTTAAGTGTCATCTCTACAGGAGTCCTCATTAATACCCAAAGGTCTGCAATTAGGGGAAATCCTGTGCTATATCATCAAGCCCATTAGGCTCTGAACTGATGTCTCCAGAGCAGACAGAGTCCTATAACCTCCTTGTGTTGCAGGGAGAAAACTCACCCCGTCTTAGTAGAAAGCCAGAGCGGAGTTCTCAGGTTGATTTTCTTTTCAGGAGACTCTGAGAGGGTGCGTCCCAGAGACCTGAGAGCTGGAGCATTCGGGCGCCAAGGGGCCACCGATCCCTAGAACCTTAGCCCCAGTCCCAGGAGCTGCCTTCCTGCCTTCCCTGAGTCAGCCCGGACTTCGGTGTCTAGGGGCCCCGCACCAGAGATCCTTCCTACCAGGAGTGTGGTCATTTCAAATTTCATTCTATCTCCCTGATTTTAATTTTAGTTTTTAATGGGAGCTTCTGCAAATAAAAGGAAGATAAAAAGGTGATAAAAAGGAAGCCACCTGCCTCCCTCATAACACGAAGCAGCCCACCTTGCACCGGAGCAGCCCGCCCTGCACCACAGCAGGCACAAGTCGAGTTCCCGCTTCCCTCCATATGCAAACTTAGCACCCAAAAGACAACAGGCTGCAGGGAGCAAGAGAGCCCAGTCTCTTGCCCTTAGGGTGGGGGTAGGGCTTCCTATAGCCAGATCCCAAGAAAGCAAATGCCTGGACATCTGTCTCAGTAGATCTTTCCAAAAGCAAGTCAGTGGAAGGAAACTCTCCTGGAGCAAAGCTTCCTCTTCAAGCTCAGTACTAGCAGTTTCACCCAGTTCCTGGAGACTCCCTATGCCACTCAGGGCACCGTTCCCTCCTCCCCACTCCTCAGCTGACAAGGCCCTCCTGCTACCTGCCAGACTTGGTGATGATCATCTCCGTGCCTAGCTCATGGAATTTGTCCCAGAGCTCCTTGGTCTCCAGGCTGCAGGCAATTTTGGCCATTTCCTCGCTGGGGATGATGGGGGTGGTGGGGATCAGTGGCTCGGTGCACAGAGAGGAGGAGGAGGGGCTGCTGCTGCCCGCACCGCTGCCACCAAACTCCCCGTGAGCATCTAGGCTGGTCAGCTCTCCCAGGGGCTGAGCGCAGGAAGACTTCTCAACAAATTGTTCTGCAGGCAAAAAGAATTGAGAATGACAGCTCATTCTGTCAATCAAAGATATAAGAAGGACAGCAGCACAACTAAAATAGGTACCGAGATTTGACTTTGGAAAAGTTTTGCTCAGGATCTCCCGGAGGGCAGTGAAAACCATTCACTACATAAACCAAGCCTGAGAGTCCTGTGGAGTGGCATCACTCCTGCTTGCTTGCTTACTGAACCAAATGAGTGAGTTCTAGAACCATGGCTTGTTACCATTACTTGAAACCCACTTTGGAGAAGAAAAAATGTGAGGAGTGGATATTGGGGACGACAATGATCATAAAGAATTAAAAACAAATATTCCTGTTGTTATCCCTCCGCATTCTTCTCAGTTTGTGGGCCCTGGTACCAGTTCTTCCTCTCTGACAAAGAGGAGACACTTTTTCCATGGAGATCAAAGCAGCGAAAATATCAGCTCCTTCCTCACTTTAAGAGGAACCTCCCTTCCCTCCTGGAGCCCTCTCCCCATAAGAGAAAATGAAAAGGGGGTGTGGTGTGCTGTGGTGTTGGGGATGTGGTTTTTAAAAAAAAAAAAAATTAAGTCACTTCACTTCTTTGCCTGGTTCTCAGTTTCCCAGACTTTCAGATGTTAGATTGGAACATTTTCCCTATCAGTCTGAGATCTTATGAAAGACTAACATATTGCTTGTTAAATCACAGGAGTACGCTCTCCAATTTTTTGGACTTGGCTTGAAACAATTACTTGAGAGACAAAGTGTTTATTTTCTCTCTCTCAAAAAATGTTCTGTGAGGAAAAGAACCCCAAACCCAGACTAGCAGAGTGTTAAAGTAGGAAGAACAGTTTTCCATCAACCATCAGGCTAGAATACCACTGCCTATGAACCAAACATTCTCCTCCACAGCTGATAAGGGCCTGGGACTACACCAGTCACTTTGATGGAATACAGGGGGAGTTTTGTAATTGGCTCAATTATCTTGCATCCCTTAAAAAAGAAACTACTTGAATCGACAATGTGAAACTGAACTCCAAAACAACTCTGTTCTAAGTGCCCTCAAGGAATTGAAATAAGTTCTAAGTACACACACACACACACACACACACACACACACACACAATGTTTTATTTCTCTTTGACTGGGGCAGGCAAGCAGGAGGTAGAGAATTTTAACTTTCTCTTAACAATAATAATCCAACTCATGAAAAAATTTTTAAATAAGAATAATCAAATTAATTATCATATCCTTGTTTTCAAATTCAAAGAGAACCATGCGATCACAGAATTCTATTTTCTACTAATATTTTCAGGAACACATTCACATAACATCTTTATAGGGAATTAATAAGTAGCCTTAAAATTTTTCTGACAATTGAAAAAGGCAAGTTCCAAGCTCCAAACTAACCGGTGTGTCAGGGTGGGGAAATGGAAGAAGAAAATGATACAGAAATGTTCTAACACAATGTTTTATGTCAGTTATATCTCGATTTAAAAAAATGTAATGACTTAGTTGTTGAGGTAGTTCTTTTGAATAGACCTAATGTGTTTAAATAAGCAATCATGAGACACCTCTGACTCCCACCCTATACTTTCTTTAGCATCTCGCTAGTGTTGCATTCTCTCTTAACAGGTATTTCACGTGCTGGAGTCCTTGGCTTATAGTAAATAATAGTGCTCGGTTGAACTGGCCCTAGAAAGGGACTGAGATGCCTTCAGGTTCTTTCAGAGTCTGTCTCAAAAGCCCCAGGGGAGGAAGGATGCTCACTTTACAGACTGGAATGAGGTGGGGGTACCTTGAGCTGTAAATGGTTTTATAGTTTAGAATTCAGAGGAAGGTATTTTCCCCCTCAGGAAAGTAGAGAAGGAAGCAGCGTTGAAATGACAGTAGAGCTGAAGCTAGCATGTTTCCCGGTCTACTGCACACCTGTCAGAAATTTTAACCTGAAATTCTCTTTCCTTGCTAGCTGCCAAACAGTAGTGCGGGCATTTATTTATAAAGAGTTCGGAGGCCTCCTAAATAGGAGTGGATACCGATACCATTGGGAAGGGCCACAAAGTTAACTTTTAAATTGGTGGTGAATTTTTTTCTAAACAGTTGGAGTTTATCTGATTGGTTATTTCCATTTCTTTGGCAGGTTTAGATTTACATGGGAGGTTAGATAGGAAGAACCAGAGAAAGAGAGTGAAAACCACGGAGGAGAGACTTTTTGACATATTTTCTGCAGATCTTCCTGTTTCCTTTGCCTTGGTTCTAAGTTTCTGCAGGGATTCTAGCTCTCTCTTCTCTCTGCTGAGGCCCCTTATTTTTCTTCTCTAACATTTCATCTTCCATATTATTATTGTGTTTCAAGGTGTGAGATGTTAAAATGTTGAGAAAGGGCAGGGAGAAGAAGAAAAAAATTGAAGTTAAGAAGTTTTAAAAAATTACCCTAAGTTTACTTGGTGCTTTTCACTATTTTAGGACTACCAGATGATCAGAATGTGAACTAATTATTACCCAGGGACCCAAAAGGTGATGATGAGAACACTTCTTTCTCCCAATTGTGAAGGGACTTGAAACACCTCTCCAGCAGTTTCTTTTTCACACAATTCACTCATGCTAAGGGTAGTATAGTCACTTTTCTCCCTTTGCTCTGAGCATAGTGTCTTCTATAAATGGTAAAGGTTGTTAAATAAACAGTATAGCTAAAAGTTGAGGAATTTGGAAATGGTTACTGGCTAATGTTTTTGCCAACCTCCACTGAAAGTGACAGCAGCTATGAAATGATGTCTTACTGATATATCTGGAGCTTCTCTGAAGAAAATGGTTCATTCCGGTAGACCTGGCTTATTCTACAGCACCTGACAGGGGTCTTAAGGAGCTGACTTTGTGTAATCTATTCAAGTCAGGAAAAAACAAAATTAAACTAGCTTCTTGTGAAGTGACAGTCTCCTTGTTTGCAAATGCACAAGCAGGTGTTAGATGCATCATAAATTCTGTCGAGTCTTAAAAAGGGGCTTTTATTCATTATTCATCCCTAAATCTTTCATCCCAAAAGTGTTACACACACACACACACACACACACACACACACACCCCGGATGTTCGATTTGACAAAAGCATTCTAGACAAATCGGTAAGGAAAGCGACGTATGAGGTATGAAACTGGTTGCATATAACAACACTGTGAAGTCCCCAAAGAATCTGGGCCTAAGAGGGGAAAAAAAAAAAAATTTCCCACCCGCAACATAAGTCTATGGTCAGAGCTGCCGCGCGAGCCGGAAAAGGTGGCCACCCTCAAAAGCGTCGTGCAGCTAGGGGACAGAAGGACAAACAAATTTGCCGCCCCCCACCCCCCGACCCCATGCCTGCCCATCCCGGACAGTCTAGCAGCCCGACTTACCCAGTGGTTTGATAGTGTTCTCCGTTGTTTCCTTCTCTTTGGAGCCGCCGCTCGACATCAGCGCGGCGATGGAGAAGGCGTTGGCCCTGGAAGAAAGCTGGGGCTTGGGCGATGCCGTGAACTCCATGGCCCCTAGTGTGCGGTCCTGGCCAGGGACCGGGCCTGCCGAACTGCTGTCCAGCTTCCCCAAAAGAGGCAAAGACCGAAACACAGCGCAAAGTTTCCAAGTGCAGCCAGAGGGGAGCCAGGGACTCTAGATGAGTCAGCCCCAACCTCCCAAGAGCTCCACACCGGTGTCTCCTTTCCCCCACCGCAAGAGCCTTTAGCCGCTGAGACTTCGAACTAGCCAGAGAGTACCAACTGCGGGCTCAACCGAGTGTGCAAGTACAGGGACGCTCCGCAGGGGCACAGGCTGCGCCGCCGGAAGCTGAAGACTAGCATGAGCTGCGCTAAGCCCAGAGGTCCTGCAGCACCCGCTCCACGTCCTTCCTCCCTCCCCACTCTGGGGACAGTCAGAGCGGCTCAGAGTCGCTGAAAGGGGGCGGATGCTTGGGAGTCTGAGCGTGGCCGTGCGAGCGCGGCGGGGCGCGGAGGACACTGCGCCCGGGCGCTCGACGCCCTGCGCCTTAATTTGCTGGCAGCGGCGATCCCGGCGGCCCGCAGCCAGTCAGCGCTGCCACACGTCACCGCTTCCTGATTCCGCCGCCGGGGGCGGGGCTGCGGGCCGGGTGGGGAGGGTGTGCCCGGGGCGCGGTGTCCGTGTGGCCTCACGCACAGCCCGGTGGAACCTGGCATCCGTTCGGGGAATGGGGTGCCACCACCAGGCTAGTGCAGCGACCGCGGATGCAGCCCTTCAGGTCTCGCAATTCCGGAGTGGGAGGGAGGTGCTCGCTGTCGGGAGGGGGCATTTTTGTCTCGTCTTAAGACCTGGGATCCTAGGAGTGGCCCACTGCGGGAATCTAGACCAGAAGAAGCCTCGGGGAGTTCTTGATTCTCCCATTCTTTTTCTTACTGGTAATCAAAGTTCCAAAAGAAAGTTGGAAAGTGCTAGAAATGGGACAAACTGGCGCCGTAGAGTCGGCGCCTAAGGGATAGATCCCATTTGCCCGGCAACGTGAAGGGCTGGATCCCAGAACCCGATGGGCTTCAGAATCGGACTGCTAGACAATGGGTCTGGAGAGAAGCAACCTTGAGAACGATGCGCTAAGGGTGGGCTTTAAGCATTTGGCCAAGGATGCTCTCAGAACCACGGCTGCTTCTGCACACTGGTGCGCCTCTCGTTCGGGGTTCCTGTTCCCAAAAGGGACTGGAAAATCGGGCCTTGACGGAAGGGAAGGTGAGGGGCGATCGACGTGCTGGTGGCGCGGCGCCCTGCGGGGACCACGCGACGCTCAGTGGGAGAGTGCGAGCCCCGCCGCGCCCGCGCTTGGCGGACGCCGAGCCTTCAGTCTTCACAAACTCGGACTTCCCACGGCCTTGTGGGGGTCGTCTTGTTGGCCTTGCTCAGCTTGAATAACTCAAATTCTCCAAATTCGCGGGGTAATCCGCTTCACTCGGAGCCGCGTAAACTCAGGCTGACACACACACTCAAGCTGTACATGTAAATATTTGCTCCCCTTTCCAGTCGGTCTGGCGATTAGGAGCCTCTTTGTAGGTCTTTTAAAAAAAGAAAGAGAAGAAGGAAAACAGCCCCCTTTTTCTCACCCCCACATTTTCCTCTCTCCATGGCACAGACATTCTCCACCCCTTGAAACAAACTTATGAGGGGAAAAAGTTGAAACTCAAAAGTTGAAATCAGCCATGTAAGTAACATGATGACAGGTGGGGAACTTGTGAGTTAAGACTGTCTTGTCACCATATGTCAATAGTTTCTAACAACACACTGCATAACAGTGGCTAAGGAATAATTTTGAAATACCTCTGTGTACACAGAGCGTTTGTGTACATTTGGGGTAAATTCGTAAAACTATAGATTTTTGTGCTGGAAACGATTTATACTGTCTAGCCCATGTCCATTTGCTTTGACAGTGAGAAACCGAGTCTGGCTAGCAGGGTTATGCATCTCCCCTAAAATCGCCCCAACCGGCTAGAAGCACAGGACCTGCACTCCAGGCAGAGGTCTTGATCACACCCCAGCCCTGCCGCTGTGCCTGGTCTCTTCACACCGGAGATCCATAGTAAAGTAACGCTGGTTGAGAATGCTTTCAGCTTAAACCTTAGTAAGATAGAGGCAGCACCACTTCATGTGCCTGAAGGTTCGTTTCTATTCTTGAGTCTCCGGTCCTTTGCTGCTTTTGGACAACCCAGACCCTTGGATTAACAAATCTTCCCCCCAGTAGGCAAACACAGTCCACCTCAATCAATGCAACAGTGACATTTCCCTTGTTTAAATTTAAGGCACACAAGCTTGTTCCTGTCCTGTCTCAAATGCTTAGGGTTTGGCCAGGAAGGAAGATTTCTGTCAAGAGCGGGTGTCTTTGGGGGGGGGGGGGGCGTTGTTTGTTGGGATGAGCGATGGCATAGTGTCTAGAATTTCACGCTTCAATTGAGCATCGAAAATCTTATTTGCTGATTTTAGTTTTCAAAAACTTATTGTGAAATTATACCTCGATTTTTAAAAAATGCATTTCTACACAGAGAAAGTATCATATCTTTTCTTAATTATCTTAGTGGTTGAGGCTGGAATTTGAATAATTTCATGACAGGGACAGTTTTAGAAAATTTGGCAGAGCAAGGGGGGAAATGCTTTGCCCCCAGTCAGTTTCCACTTTTCCAATTGCCCACGCACTCTGTCCGGTTCTGGGTCTTTGGTGGGCAGCGAACTTGGACTGTTCATCCTTCTAAAGACAAAATAGGAAGCTAAACTAGCTAAGCTAGTGCGCGGAGGCAGGCGCCAAATCAGAGAAACTGAAAAGTCAACTTTAAACAAACTCGGGGCTCGAGAGGTGAGCCTTTTGGGGATCCCTAAAAAGCAATGTATCTTGTTGGTGTTGAAACCGCAGCAATAAAATGTATACTGCAACATAATTATCTGAGGCGCACTGTCCCTGCTCTTAGATTTATTGCCTTCGCAAATCAATACTGTGCTGTAAGAGCCGGGAACCGGTACTTGGCAGGGAGGTACCATCATAGAGTGATTAAAAGCCCACCCGAAGAGAAGATCGCCCGGTTCTGAGGTTCCTTCGTGTTAGCGCGGGTTAATAGGTAAAGCCACCGAGGGGGTTGGAACCAAGTAATCACATTAACACTTTCCAGAAGGTCCTTCTTAGGCTGACGTCAGGCGGGAGTGGGGGTAGGGGTGAGACTGGGTAGAGAGGGGTCCGGATAGTCCATTGCACTTGTAGAAGACTTTGAATCTTGACTTTAACCCGCTTTAGCCCTCCCTGAGACTCGGTATAAGTTACCTCAATTTCTTAAAACCTTAGTTTCATCATCTAAATTAATTTATCCCTACCTAGAATATTGCTGTAGGTTAAACTAGATAAAGTTCATAAAGCGCCTGAACAGTTACCCCAGTATAAATGCACTATAAATACAGAATTTTATTGTATTTAATTTTTGAACTGCAATTTTGCGATCTCAGAAATGTTTCTTTCGCATGCTCACATGCAGGTAGCTGTGCAAACAGTTTTGGAGTGTATGGATTGGGGTCTCATGGTGATAATTAATGGGCGATTATTTACAACTTGCTAAACTTTGGAACTCAAGAATTAAAATTTGAGGTTATATGCCTGAAATTGGTTATACGGAGTTTGATTATATGGAGGACCGGAAGATGTCTCCTTATACACAGCGCAGCTTCAAATTTTCCTCTGTAACTTCTGAAACTCAAAAGTTGCTCGACTTCAGAACTGTGCAGGAAGAAATGGTTTCACGATATCGGCCAATGGCTTCTCGCTTAAATGAATATTGAAGCTAACGCAGAACCCTCCGCTGACAGCGGTAAGAACCCTCCACCGGTATAGGACAAGAGAGCTGTGCCGGAGCGGCAGGACCCGGTGCCAGACCGAGAGCTCCGCCGGGTACCCGAGGAGACCGGTTTCTCAACACGCGGGCAGCTCTACTCTCGAGATCCCGTCCCCATCCTGTCCTCCGCTCTTTTTGGTAAACGCCTTAAAAGCAAAAGAAATGGGCTTCGGTGCCTTTGGATTCCTAAATTCGGTTTACCGAACAGGAAACCCACCCGAAGTAGTGTGGGGAGCGCGGCCGCAATCCCTTGAAAGCAGCTGCTACACGTCCCGGGGGCGCGCCGAGAGTAGCGCGCATCGTCGTGCCGCGTAGGGAGCGCGCAATGCGGCCTCGGATTTCATTGTGCGAGGAATGGAGTGGTCCAAACCTTTCCTCAGAGGAACCGCGGAGTTCCTCTGAAGTTACAAGTGCACATCCTGATGGAGTTAAGTTTTCTTGAATCCAAGTGTCTGCGAGAAGCTCCTCGTCTAGCTTTGGCTGCAAGAACGGGCCGGTCCGCCGGAGCTCCCGTCCACCCCGGAGGCCCCAGGAACGGGCGAAGCAAGGCACCCCGCCCAATTCCGTTTCTAAGGGCGAGGCAAAGATCAGTTCTTCAAGAGGCGCGGCCAGAGTGTGTCATCTGATTGTCCCTGTGTGGATGGGTGGATAGATGGGTGGGTGGGTGTTCGCACGCGCGCTTACACGCGGCCGGGACTTCACTCTGGCGCCCGGCTGTGGAACCGAGGAAAGGGATGTAGTGTGGGCCTAAGGCAGGTGGCACGCATCTCCAGGGCCTATGCCCTCAGATAGTGAAGGGAAAAATTCTTCGGGGGCCAGAGCCCCGGGCACTCCTCAGGCTCAAGGAGGCCTTAGACTGTGGGTGCGCGCCACCACCAGGCTACTGGAACTTGCACTCCCGGGGCCTTCTCGGGTTCCCATGGTGTGGCGCCACCGAGCCTAAACGCGGAGATAAGGTGCGGAGCCCCAGAGCCTCCTCACAGACTGTTCCCTCAGGGCTGCGACCCTCCAGCTCCTTCCCTTGACCACTCGCATGCTTGTACATCCCCCAGGAGCTCGAGGCTGCAAAACCTAAGCACCGCAGGCCTCCTCCTGACCAGGGAAGAACTTGTGCGCTAGAATTGGGTGCACAACTCGAAGCGTGATCCCAAGAACAGCAAA